CTACTATATATATATATATATATATATATATATATCTTTATCCGTGTGTGTGTGTGTGCTGTTTTTTTTTTCTCGACCTTCACAGACGTTTGAATATTTTCGTTTTGCTGTTTTGCTGTTTTGGTTGAGTCCTTCGCTGAGGCCACGCCGCCGCTAGTGCGGTGCGTTGTCCTTGAAAAGGAAAAAAAAAAGAAGAGGAAGGTGAACTAAAACGAAAAGAAAAGAAAAGAAAAAGAAGAAATAACGATGACGAGGAAACGTGTACGGATGAATTAAAAGCCACGGGCGTGCATGCATGGGCGCTTATAGTGCCTGACTGTGCGGTTGTCTGAGGCAGCGAGGAAGGTCGCGGGGGGAGCCACACGTCCTCTCGCTTTCTCTGTGGCATCTGCGCTCGTCTCCGCTGCCTTTGCTGGGAATGTGTGGGAAGTTGCATCTGCTCCGCCCCACCCTCTTCTTCCTCATATTCTCTCACTCACTGTGCGCGGCGCACATACTGCCCCACCTCATCCTTGGCCACCGCCGGGGTAGCTTAGATCCAGCACCATGTCCGCTAGCGGTGCGCCTCCGGGCGTTAATATGCCGAAAAAGCGTGACCCACGTCTTCGTGGTGTGCAGCAGCCTCCGCAGAAACAGTTTTTTGACTCCGCAGACTACGAGGTGAGGCGGCAGCAGCAACATCGGCCGCAACCTCAGCCCGATCAGGCACTCACGGCCGGGCATGGGACACGGGCTCCATCAACGAAGGGGGCGGGGTATAAATTAAATGAGCGTGAGGCGGAAAGAACAACAACAACAGGCACGCAATGAACCGGAAGAGACGTGGGGTGCGGCGGTGGCCCTCAGTAAGGAAGCTGGGGCAAAAATGAGACAATTGAGAATGTGGCTGTGGCGAAGGTGCTCTTGGGGCAACACTTTCCTCCTGTGGAGGAGGCCGCATGTGCACGCGCCTCGCTTGGACGCAGAAGTGCGGGGGTGGCGCGTGCTTCCCTCCACCCGCCAGTCCCTCCCCGATCCGCCCGATCGCATGTCAACGGGCAAGGCATTTTGCCGCCCCTTTAGCTGCACTTCTCTCGTTTAGAAGGTGCAGTCTGAGGATAGGTGGCAAGGGGAATAACAACAACAACAACAGTCGCGAGGAAGCGGAAGAGGAAGAGAGTGGAGGACAACAACGAGGGGGAAGCGAAAAAAGAAAGCACCAAAAAGAGGGTTGGGCGGAACTTTCCTTCTTCCGTCATTGCTTCCTCTCTTTGGATGCGGCTGCCATGTTCAGCAGGAGCTGTTTTTGCCCCTCTTTTCCCGCCTGCTCCATATCTGTCGATGTCCCCTCGTCTCACTATGTGTTTTTGCGCCGCTGTCCGCGCCGGTGTTGCCCTGCGCATTCTTTTTCTATCCCTTTCTCTTTCTCGTGTGCTTCGCGCGCCCAAAAGCAGCTTTGGCGTGCAGAAGAAGCGATAGCTGAGAAGCAGGAGGAAACCGCAGGGAGGGAAGGAGGGTGTGTTGCTCTCTGTCTGGTCCTTGGGAAGTCAGGGGGGATGCAGCGGGGCACGACGATGATCTCAGGCAACCCATTCAGGGAGAAAAGCAACGACTCCTCTCCCCCGGAGGACGGCGGCCGCGGCGCGCAGACAATTGCGGAGGCCATCAAGAAGGATGACGCGGCGATGGCGAAGCAGCTCGCGGTGCTCTCACGACGACCCGAGGCAAAGCCGCAGACAAAGAAAACCGTCTCCATTCGTGGAGGTGCCGCCACATGCCCGGTTGTGTGTCGCAATGGGCGAGGCCTTCGTACGGTGGAGATCAAGGAGGTGCACAGCACGGAGATGTTTATTGCAAAGAAGAGAGATGTGGGTCTCATGCGCCTTGCGCTTGCGAACAAGGAGGCGGAGATACGTCACTTGGAGGAGGAAATGGATCGTGCAGAGAAGCGGCTTCGTCAGCAGCAGGAGCAGCTTGCCAGTACGGAGGAGAAGTTCAACAATTTTCTGAAGCATAGCAATTTGGAACAGGATGCCGCTGTCAGGCGGGCTGAGGTTGAGAGCAAAGCCAAACTGGAGCGTCTCATCGACATCAAGAAACTCTCGGCACAGATCAGTCACATGGAGCAAGACATGCGCAAGACCGATGTGCAGTTGGAGCTGTGTATGGAGTACAAGAACTTTATGGACAGCCTCACGGAACCTCAGTGGTTCTACGACGTTCTCTGTGGTCTTCGTGTGAATGACATTAGTCAGGTGATTCTGCGTGAGACAGAGGAAAAGTATACGCGCCGAGCAGAGGAACTAACGGAGGCGGTGAAGCAAGCAGCAGCTCGGCGTGAATCACGCCAGCGAAGGATTGCCGCTGCACGGGAAAGAGGAACCGTCTTTCTGGAGCCGGGTCGCTCCGGTGAGCGGGACGATGGAACGTTGGAGGAGGACGAGGAGGAGGAGGTTTCCCTTGAGGTACAGCTGGAAAAGCTGCACCAAGACCTTGAGGCTGAGGCACAGCGGCAGCAGGAGGAGGCAACCGCAAGCATTAAGCGGGAGGTGGAGTCACTTTCTGTGGATGAGGTTCGTGCCGTGCTTGACAAGGCTTACCCCCAGGAGCGCATCCCAATGTACTTCACGGAACCGGATCAGATACTTGACATTTTTATCAACGTTGAGGAGGGCAACTTGTTCCTTATTCAAAACAGCCAGGAGCTAGAGGAAGAGCTAGAGCGTGTCGCCATGGAATACTTCTCTGAGCAGGAGGAAATGTCCACCATGGTGCGGCAGCGAAGTGCGCAGATGGAGTCGCTGGCGACACGGATCAAGGAGGCACAGCAACGTTTGAGCCAGCTGGAGGCGCGCTTATTGGATCTTGAGAGCATCGATAGCGGCGCCGACGCGGGGGATGATGCGGCCCGCAATAAGAATGGTGTCGGTAGCCCCAGGAGGGACAAGGCTGGAACCGTGATGCGGCAGGAGGTGCTGAAGAGGCTTATCGAGCGTGCTGTAGCAGACATTTTTCGATGTATCAGTCAGCAGCAGACTACCGCCGCGCGTCGCCCCGAGGACTCTGAGGGAGCTGAGGACGCAATGCAAAGTGGTGGCAGGGCAAAATCGCTCACGGGGCAGAAGCGAGCCTCTCAGTTCGCAGTCTTGCCCAAAAATAAGGGAAAGAAGAAGGAGCGGACTGTTACTGGCTCTGCGACTGCTGGTGGGGTGGATGCACCCAACGACGCAGATGCTGGTGCTAACATGTGGCCGGTGGAGATGCTCACCATCATTGAGAACAAGATAGACGAGTACATTCGCTATATTAACGACCCTGAAAATGGCGTGGAACAGTCACTTATTATGAGCGTTATTAAGATACGTGACAAGGAGCGTCGTCACCAGGCCCGCGTTGTGCAATTAGAACGGCAGTCAATAGAGCGAGAGGAGCGCAACCGGCGGGCCCTTGAACGCTCACAGGCACCCGTTGTGAGGCGGCGTGGGAAACCGATTATGTGGCGTTCTCGTCCACCCGTTGAGACGGCGCATGGCACGGAAGTCAAGCAAGGCCCTGTGACGACAAAGGAGGCTGACCAGGACGAGGAGTTTTTCCGATGATAAATTGCCGGAGGAACAGACCCTTGAAAAATAGGAGAAGAAGGAGGCGGAATGGGTGCGGAGTGCGAGCGCGAAACAGTAACTCTTTCTTTACTTGTCTTGCTCCCTCCTCATTTGTCCTTTTTTTGGGGGGAGAGAGGAGTTGGATCTCGTTTGAGGGGCCGTGAAGCGAGAAAACAAGCGCAGCCGCAACAGCTTTGCTTCATGGGGGTACCGTATGTAATTAGTGCCTCTCTGGTGCCTCTCAGTTCCTTTGCTTTTGAAGCGATGTAGTATAGCGGCACCGTGTCTGTGTCTGTGTATTCCCTTCCTTCCCATGTAAGTGTTGAACGCTGCGATGCTTTGGTGTTGTGGTCCTACTCCTGTTCCTGCCGTCCGCCCATGCAGCTGCCGCCTCCTTGCGACGATGTCTCTGTCGCTGTTCTGTTTCCTTGCATTGTAGTCTTTTGTAAGGCGCCTGGAAGGGGGCAGGGTACCCCCCAAAGTCTCTTGGGAGCCGCGCTTGGACGGGTGTGCCAGCCGCGGGGATGGCGAAGAAGCATCGAGTGAAGCGGCAAAAGTACGTCGAGCACCTGCGCCGCCTAGAGAAGGAAAGGGATGAGTACCTGGCAAAGCGCATACGTTCCAAGCGAAGCCGCGAGAAGCGTAATGAGGAGGACATCTTCGCCGAGGCCAAAGACGACCGCGCGATGGGCGAGAGGAAGCGTGAGCGCAGAGAGGGGCCCGATAGAAAGCAGGCGATAGTTCCTCCGCACGAGGAAAAGGCGAAGGCGGACGTGGGTGATGCCTCCGTCGAGCTGAACAAGGCGGAGAGTAACGGGAAGGATGCCGCGTTGCCGGCAGCGAAGGCAGCGGGGAAGCGACTCAACCGTAGGTACTAATGATGCGGCTATGTCCTTGTGTCTGCGGCCGCATGGGCATCTGATGATTTGTGTGACCGAAGCGCATGCGTATTTGAGGCGAGGAACACGTTTGCCTGCTGCCAATGCAAACTGCTTGACACGGGAGCTGATCCACCGCATGCGCCTTATATATACACACATACACATTGTAGTAATGGTGTGGTGTGACGCATGCGTGACGGCCTCTTTGTTCTTCTTGCTGCGAACAGAATATGACAAGGAACTTCCAAGCGTTGCGTATCTCTTGGGGCACCCGCGAATAACAGGCGAAACGAATTTGCATGAATCTCCCCAACTAATTATTTCTAACCACGTACTATTTCCGTCACTCTTTCCCTCTGCATCTTTGAGTCCCGTGGAGACTACGCCATAACTTGTCCTTCTCCTCCTGCCGCTTTTTTTTTCTGCTTGCTTCGGCGTTTAATCGTGGCTTTCGCAGAGATTTTTTTTTTTTTGGGGGGGGGGGGTGTCCACAAACACGCATGGGAAAGCCAAAAGGCCACCCCAACAGAGAGGTGGGGCAGCGCAGCAGGAAAAGTGCGCCCCGAGGTGGACCTCGCGGCCATGCGCCGTGCAACAACCCTTGTAGTGTGCCGCTGGCGATGTGGGACTTTGAGCAGTGCGACCCCGACGCCTGCTCGGGTCGGCGCTTGTATCGGCACAATGCATTGCGCCTTTTAAAGCTGCGGGAACCCTTTCATGGGGTCGTTCTCACACCAACAGCCACAGAGGTTGTGAGCCCTGCCGATGCGGACCTCGTTGCCCGCTCCGGTGCCGCAGTGGTGGACTGTTCGTGGAAGCAACTGCATGCGGTGCCGTGGCGGCAGATGAAGATGGGTGCCCCACGTCTGTTGCCGCTTTTAATGGCCGCAAATCCCGTCAACTACGGTCGGCCGTCAAAGCTGAACTGTGCCGAGGCACTGGCAGGGGCTCTCGCCGTTGTTGGCCGCATGGAGGACGCGAGGTCCGTCTTGTCGTACTTTTCCTGGGGAGAAAGTTTTTTTGACGTTAATGCGGAGCTCTTGGAGGGCTACAGCGGGTGCGCCAACGCGGCAGACGTGGTGGCTTTTCAGGAGCAGTACGTGGCAACTGAGGTGAGCAAAAGTGCGGCACGGCGGGAGATTGACTTGAATAGTATGGATCTGATGGATGCGGGTCCGCTAAACCTTAAACGAGGCAAACTAAGGAGTCGGCATACATGGCAGAAAGACGATGACAACGAGGAAGAGGAAGAGGAAGAGGAAGAAGGGGAGGAGGAAGAGGAAGAGGAAGAAGAGGAAGAAATAAAAAAGGATGCTGAAAAAAAGGAGGTTCAGTTAGGGAAATTGGAGACGTCAGGTGATGGGGGGAGTCTGCGTTCTTAGGGGAGTGGTGTCCTCTTGACGTTTTTCCTTCTGCTGTTATTCTTGTTCTTTATTTTCCTTTTTTGTGATGCGCATCATTTGTCGGGGCCTTCATTAATTTCATTGCGTCTAAAACCTTTTTTTTTGTTCGCTTCGTGCACCGGCCTTTGCCTGCTGATAATAGCGCGCGTGTGTGTGCGTTGTCAAGTCTGTTTTTCTTTTCGCCGCCGCAGTCGTTAGGGGCGTCTGGAGGAGATGCGCGGCCCAATGGGGCGAATGAGACGATATCGCGTTGACAGGCGGCGCGAGTGCCTTTTTTGTTTTTGTTTCGTTGACCCTGGCATTCAACCCTTCAGCCGCACTGGTGCTAAAGCCCCCACGCGGAGGCGGGACTGGCGGCAGTGGGGCCAAAAAAAAACAACAACAAAAACGCGCCATTTTGTCAGCTTATAACGCGAACCCAGTTACTGTGAGAGCATGCGTTTGTTGAGTTCGGTTGACTGGCGCTACGCATTTATTTGTTTGTTTCTGGGGAACTACATCTCATCTGAGGCGGGGTAAATCTTGGGCGCAGTGACCCAAACTCTGATCTCTCACTCTGGGGCCTTCCTTTTATCGTGATGGGGGGGGGGGGGAGGCAGCCCCATGCATCCAGTGAGATTGTTTGCTTTTGTTTCCTATTCTTTGACTGCCTTGCGACGCACTCTCTTTCGTCGTCCGTGCTCCTTCCCAGCTTCTCCACTTCGTGGTAGGCAGTCTAGCTTGGCCTCTCACCGCCAGCGGCCCCCGCACTGAGGAGTGTTACTGCCATCGCACCCACCTGTAGTACGTGGAGGCGGCAGAGTTCTCCCACGCCTCGCGTCTTTGTAAAAGCGTTGGTGGCTGAGTGACTGAGCGGGAGTGGGGGCGTGTGTGCGTGGGCGCGCGAGAATGGAACGCGAAGAGGAGGCGGGCAATGCAAGGGAGAGCGCGCGATACACGGGATCCTCCACGCCGGCTGGCAGCGCCGTGGAGAGCGAGCGGCACGGCGCCCCGGAGGTGTCCTACACGCCGGTCTTCTGCGTCTCCGCCGGCGACTTGCACGACGCGACCTCGGAGGACGCGGTGGAATTCGACGAGGGCAGCGGTGCGTCTGCGACGGCCCACCACGCGGCCGTCTCCGAGTTGGGGGCGTGGGAAACCAGCAATGCAGAGGAGCCGGAGAACGTCTACGAGCGAGCGTTTTTCATTCACAGAAGCCAGACGCCCCCACTGAAGGCGCTCCTCGGTTTTTCCGGCACCCCCCGCGTGAGCCCGCAGGGCCAAAGCCTGCATAGAGACCGGCACGGGTCTGTGCATTTCATAGCCTTTTCCTCCGCAACGTCCGATAGAACCATGATTGACCACGGCGCCTCGCTGGATCATGTTGCGGTTCGAACACCAGATGCGAGCTCAGGTGCCCGTAAAGGGGTTCTGCAGGCCTACCTCGCACAGTCGGTCAAAGGACGCCACGCACGAGCATCTTGGAGCAACCCAAGATTGCGCAAACTTTCTCTTACTGGCTCCCACGCGAGACATGCCAGCTACAACGTGTACAGTTGCGTGGTTGGTGATGCCCTCAGAATTTCTGTTGGGGGAACGCGTTCCACCAGTTGTCCAGTTCGTCTTCCACGTACAGAGACGAGCTCGGGTCCGCCAGGTTCCTGTTGGGAGTGCTCCACCTGTCTGGCGCCGACTGAAACTCGCACTCCCTCTCTTTCTAGTACTTGCTGCGGTACGGGCGTCGTGCGACGGCATCGCTCCGACGAGTTGCTGCAGTACCGCCTGGCTGTTCAGCATGCCAAAAAGGGCAGGTACGGATTGAGTATTCGGGACGTTCTCGCAAACCCCGACGCCGCCGATGATGAGGAAGAGGAGCAGGAGGAAGATAGTTTTGCCTTATGTGAGTAATAGTCAGCTTGAAACTCGCTCATGACTTTAGACCCCGTAACAATGTGGCCTTCCGGACACATCTTCATTACAAACACACACATACACACACACTTTTGCTTGAGAGGCAGGTGAGGAGTGAGACACGGGCATTCATTTTTTTAAATTCTTTTTTTTTCTTTTGGTGCATAGGGAGGAGAAACAAGAAGTGCGGAGCCGGGCCCACACACAGACGAATAATAAAAAGGCAACACACGAAGGTAAAGGAGGCGTATCGATAGTGTGGCCAGGCAGGGTTGGACAGCTATGGCGTCTAACAATGTAATTCGGCTCCTTTTGACGGTCTACATCCTTCTTTTATTGGCTGTGAGCTGGATCACCTCATGGGTTCTGCAGGTGCTACTCATTATCTTTACGTATCCGTTTATGAGCCGCAGCAAGCGGCAGGATTGCTGCGGTTTTATCTTCCGGTTTGTCTGCTTCGTTGGCGTTGACGTCCTGAATCCGTTTTGGAGGAGCCACATACTGAGGCCTTTTCCTAAGCTGAAGACAGGAAAGGTCCTGATTATGATGAATCACCTGAGCGCCGCGGATCCGTTTTTGATGGTTCGCCTGCTGCTCCCCTTCGACGCCACGTGGATTGCGAAGAGCGGGCTCTTTCGCGTTCCCTTCGGCGGCTGGTGCATGGCCAACGCCGACGACTTGAGGGTGCACTTTGTGAACAAGCGGGCCGGGTTTGAGACGGTGAAAGGGTCCGTGGGAGCCATGATGGAGGAGGCGCGGCTCAAGTTGCGCCGTGGACGCCCCATTGCCGTCTTTCCCGAAGGCATCCGCAACAAGGACTCCGAGGGTGGGTTGCTGCCGTTTCGCCTCGGCTTCTTCAAGTTGGCCGTGGAGGAGGGGGCGGTGATTGTTCCTGTCGCCATCAGCGGAACGCAGCACTGCTGGCCTCCCCACTCCCCCCTGATGGATCAGGCCACCGCCTACTACTCCTGCGGTGACGCCGTCGACGCGTCGAAGTTCAAGACGGCGGAGGAGTTGCGGGATCACGTGTGGCGAGTCATGACGGACTTGCGCGACAGCCATCCGGACAGGCGTGGAAAAGAAAAACAGCAGTAGTTTCTTGCCTGCGTGCGGTGCGATGCACGTCCTTCTTCAGGCTTTCGACACCCTCACGGGCGATGGTGGGTAGTCGGGTGTTCGCAGCACACGCCCACGTATGCGCGCAGGAACGCAACCAAACGATGCCAGTTATGCAGGGAGGAAACAGAGAGGGAGGGAGAGAGTGTCTACCCGAACAATGTATCCTTGCGGAGGCAACGGCAAACCGACGCAAAGACGAAGGAGGAGGTCTGAAACTTCATTATGTGGGAGGTTTTTAATGGGCGATTTTCTTTGTTTTGTGCGGGGGTTTCCTCCTTACTGGCTGAAAGATGTCTGTTCATTTGCGTACAACTGAGCGGGGCATACACGCACTCTTTTTGTTTTTCTTAACTCCTGTGTATTATATTTTTTTTCTGTCTGTGGGGGATGTGGGGCTTTGCTTTTGTTCCCTCCGCATCAAAAGGCGCTCTGCTGCGTGTGTAGTGTAAGCGGTTCGGGCAGTTCTCTCGCCACGGTGGCTGGGGCGCTGCTGAAGCAGGCAGACACGAGGGAACAGGGAGGAGGAGGGGGAAGGGACGAGAAGGGCGCAACTCCTCACTCCTCCTTTCGCTCCAAAAGTAATAACAATAATAAGACAAAAAAAAAGGGCGAGGCTAATCACACGCAGCGAAGGATTATAGAAGGCGTAGCACTCAAGCTGCGACACGCTCATTTATTCTGAACAGGGGAAGGAGGCGCTTTTGTCGCCATTCCATTTGTGTTCCTTGCACGGAGGAGACAGCCTCGTACAGAGTGCTTCTTTCAGGGTCTGCAAGGCACTGTTGACTCCGCATGCAGGCACGGGGGTTACCGGATGGGGAAATTCTGCGACGGAGGCCTTCACCGACCCCCACCCAGGAGCAAGAGGATGTGGCTCCTGCTGGCAGAAAAGCGGAGGGAGGTGCGGCTTCCGCCTTTCGGTTACCGCGTCAGGACGAAATAGTGCCGGAGGAGAGGGAGCTTTCTTCTGAGTGGAGGCAAGGTGCGGACATGACGTGTCTTATGGAAAAACTACTCGAGCAAAAGAGGAAAATGCAGACGATGGAGGAGGTGTTGGATGACCTTCATAGGGGGCTATTCGAAGTGAGAGACGCAGCCCGTAAAGCTTCTCCAAAGCAGCGACCTCATTCTTGCGGCGCTGCCTCGCCTCCGCAGAACGGAAACGCGGACCGGCGTGTAGGCGGTGAAGTTTGGTATTTTGAGGAGTCCCGCTCAGCTCCGCACGCATCGAGGGATGGGCTTAACTGGTCCGCGGCGGAGATGCAGGCGTGGAAGGCGGCGTCACTGCCCCAGCTGTTCTCCATGCGGGAAAGGCTGCTTTCTTCTCTCTGCGGTGTCTCGGACGCCATCACACGCAAAAGGTTGAGTGAAATCAAGAGCTACGGTGCTCTGAAGGACGCGCAGCGGGAGACTGACGCCGCTATCCAGGCCTCTATGCATCGTCTCTTTGGGGAGGCCTTTTGCGTTGCCTCCCTCGGGGACGCAAAGGACCTCTGCATGTTGGCCGAAAGAGTAAAGGGCAGTGGCATGGCGTCGTTTGATAGGGCCGTGTTTGAAATCAAGCAACTGACGCAGCGAGGGGGATTACTAAATTCGTGCGAAATGCTACAGACATCATTGCGTCCTAATTCGCCTTTTGCAGGCTGCTCGCGTGGGGGGCGATACCTCCGCGCCATGCGGAATTTGCTTTTGGCGTTTGCGGTGGATTCGCGAGGGAACAAGTTGCTGCACGCGCGTCGAACGGAGCTGGAAGCGATTGCGAGTCAGGAGATGGTGCACGCGGCTTTGCTCTGCGCTGCGCAGGGCCGAAACATGATCCCGCACATCCCTTTTTGCCTTTTTGGCTTGAAGGAATTTTCCAACGACCGCGCACTGGAGCAGGAGCCTCAGCGCCGTGCGCGCGCCCACACCCCGAGCGCAGGTCATGCCACCTCCGGCAAGCAGCGTCCTCTGCAGCTCCCGCAGAGGGAGGTTTCCCAACCAGCTTTGGCGTGTGATGGGAATGGCCCTTCCTCCCCCGCCGACTCCTTGCCACTGCGGTTGCACAGCGCGTCTCCCGTGCGTGGGAGCGCGTTGCGGAATCCATCCCTTCCTTCACGCAGGCGAGGGCTGGCTTGTGTTTCCAGAACTGCGCCGGCGACGCGGCGGGCCGCTGAGGTATCGTCACCCCGCTCGATATTTGCGTCTTCGCCCATTCTTTATCAAACACCCGAGGCGCGTCGCCAAGTGTCGGCGGCCGCGTCGAGGTCGCGGATGAGAACGACGCCGCTCGGCAGGAAGTTCAGCACAACCGGGGCCTCGTCTGCGGAGGAGATTCAGATGCTGGGAACGGCTGTTCAGCTGACGGTGTCTACGCCGTCAGTGGAGGAGAACTCACCGCGTCAATGGCCAATCGCGCGGCAGCACGTAAGCCGGCACGAGGCAGGCACAATATTGCCGTCGCGAGTGGAGCGGCGTGTGGACAGTCGCAGGGCTCCCGCCGTGTCGCCTTCGCGGTGGCGCGTGAGTGGCCATTGACGAATGCGGCTTGGACGCAGGGCGTTTGCCTCACTGAGGCACGCGAGGGCAATTGGCACAGCAATCTTGAGGGAGGAAGAAAAAAAATGTGGGAGCGAGCAAGTTGTGCTCGACGCGAGGGGGCGGAGAGAAACCGCGGTCAGTTTCTCGTCCCCTTTTTCCATTTGTTGTTGTTGTTGTTGTTGTTTTTTTTTTTTCGTTCTTTCGTACCTCGTGCTTACCAATTCCTTTGCCCCTGCCTGTACATTTTTCGTTTTTCTTTTGTTCTCTTTTTTTACTGTATATCCTCTTTGCTGTCGCTCTGCGCCGGATTCCTTCTTTATGTGAATTCGCACATGAATGTTGCGTTTTGTGTTGTCATTCAGCGCTTGAGGGTGCTGGCTTCGGTGGCCACGCCTTTCCCGGAGAGGGGTCCCTCCCCCTCCGCTCGTACTCCGCTGCGTCATGCTTTTTCCCTCCCCGCCTGAAACAACAACAACAAAATATCTTTTGCTTCGTTTCTGTTTTTTTTTTTTTCACCCGCCGCAGTCGAAGCGGCGCTGGACGGTGGCTGCCCCTGAAGCGCGAAGGGGGGAGGAGCGGAAGACACACGCGCAGAGGCGGAAAGGGTGGCATGTCGAACCTGTACGATGTTCTGGGTGTCCACCACGAGGCGGAGGATGACGCCATCGCAAAGGCGTACCGCCGCCAATCCATGGCGTACAACCCGCAGTGTAACCCCAACCACCCTGACCCAAAGGCGCTCGAGAAGCAGTTTAAGCACGTCTCCCAGGCGTACGTGGTGCTGTCCCACCCCAAGGCACGCGGCATCTACGACATGTACGGTGAGGAGGGTGTGAGACACGGTGGGACAGGCCAGCAAGGAATTCCCGGAGGCATAGACCTGGATGCTATTGACCCCTATGAAGTGTTTCGCCGCTTTTTTGGCGTGGATAACCCGTTTCAGGTAATTGGTGATATCAGTGGGCTGCGCAACAACCAGCACAATTTCTTTAGCTCCACTGCTGTCATCCCAAAGACCCTGGCAAAGGTTCCGCCCATTGAGGTCTCCCTGCCCGTGACGCTAGAGGACGTGTTCTACGGTGCGATGTGCCGCGCCGCCTGGCAGTCGCACCACTTTCATCAGGGACAAGACACAGTGACGGAGGAATGCTTTGACCTTCGTGTGCCGAAGGGCGCCCACGCCGGTGACAAGTTTGTCGTGGACGGAAAGGGCAACTGGAGTGAGGGGTTTGCGAGGGGAGACGTGGTGGTGGTGCTGGAGCTGCTGCCCCATGACCGCTTTCGCCGTGAGGGGGACGACCTTGTCGTCGTGATCCCCATCACGCTTAGCGAGGCGCTCTGCGGTGTCACGCTGAATGCCAAGACAATGGAGGGGGTCGACATCACCGTCCTCATTGATGAGATTGTGCACCCCAAGTACCGCCGCCGCGTTGCGGGTCAGGGCCTACCGCGCAATGAGGACCCTTCCAACCCGCGTGGAGACCTCATCGTGGAGTGCGACACAAAGTTCCCTGGTTTCTTGACGCTAGAGCAGAGGTCGGAGCTGCGCCGCATCCTTGAGGCGAAGTGAAGCCCCCCGTTGAGCGAAGGACCAGAAGGGAGGGGGGAGGTCGTCTGCTTGCTTGCAAAACACGCAACAAACGCGAGCAGAGGATGGGGACAAAATAAGCAAGAGGAAGAAAGAAAGAAAGATGTATGATGAATGCAATACATCTGCATCTTCACACTGAGAGGCGCTTCGGCGTCACCTTGTCGTGGTTTTTGGGGATTTACACCTCGTCTGCGTGGACCTCGTCCATATGTCATGTAGAGAGCCAATGCCGCAATGGCGGCACTGGTGTGGACCTTGATGTGTTATTGTGTTTTGTTTACTGTTCCTGCCACACTCGAACCTTTTTTAAGCTTCCTCGTGTTGGGAGCCTCTGGAGGGCCTTGCGTGTAATGGGTGTGGGCGTGTTACGAAATGCTCTTCCCCTTCATCTCCGCCTCGGTTTCTTGTGGTAGGGAGAGAGGAAGCGTGCCCATTCACCGCGGCCCGTAGGATCTTTGGCCTAAACCACTCGGGGAGGGGCAGGAGAAAAGCGATGACTGAGCTTTCTTACCATTCCTCAGACAAGGGCAGTCGCGAGCTCTCGGCGACGGACGTGAAACAGCATGAGAAGAAAGACGTGTCCGACAGCTACAGCGACGGCTTTGAGAGCGCCTCATCGAGGGAGCCCTCGCGCGCGTCTAGTGCGTCGAAGGGCAGCGGCCGCGGCGGCAAGGGGCCCGCGGCCGTGGGTCTGGCTGCACATGTCCGAGCGGACGAGGTGGACGGCGGCGAGGGCAGTGCGAGCTCCAGGAGCACGAGCACGAGCCGCAAACATGAGGCCTGTGACAAGCACGAGGAGGCACTTGCTCTCTTAGAAAGGGAAAATCACTCCGACAGAGACGCCTCCGAATCGGTGTCGAGGATGTCGAGCGTGAGCGGGGACAATGCGGCCTCGAGGAGCACCTCGGGAAAGATTGACAGTTTGATTCAGCGTCTCAAAAATCAAGGGCATGCACCGAATGAAAAGGTGCAGGAAGAGGGGAAGTCGACCTCGCCCTCGCCCTCTAAAAGGCCTCAGGGGGAGGCGGCCGGGGCTGGCCGCGGCGGTGAATCAATGGCTGTGCAAACAGCGGAGGACCTCTCTAACCTGCTCGCGCAGAATGATGAGCTTCGCATGCGGGTGCTAGAGAATGGTCGTGCAGGGAAATACTCCGGCGGACACAAAAGGAGTGCGAAGAGCGGTAAAGACAGGTCCCCGCATGGACGTCTGCAGCTGCGAAAGACAACCGCAGCGGTTCAACAGGCGCTGCGTCGCGAGCAGGCCCGCCAAGAGCTGCGCGGAGAGCGGGAGTATTTGGTGTCGCTGCGCAATCAGCTACGCAAGAAGGTCTTGGCAAAGAAGCGACTACACGCCTATTTTTCTCTCATTGAAGATTGCAAGGCCGATATCTCGAGGCTCACGGAGGAGAAGCGCGCATTGTCACTGGCGATTCGCCAGAATGAGAGGGTGCTGCTGAACAACGAGGTGGGGCAGGCCTCGGAGATGGCGCTCAAGCGACTCAAGGAGGAGATGCGGGCTGAGACGGTGCTGACGCGGCGTTCCCTGGAAAAGGCCCAGCGCGACGCAACCGAGGCGGTGAAGATGCACCACGACGCGGAACTTCGCGTGCAGAAATTAGAGGAGCAGCTGGAGGGGGCGAACAAAAAGGAGGAGGAGGCGACGGAAAACTATGACCCGGAGGTGCGTGAGCTTATCGAGGAAAACCAAAGGAAGGCCCAGAAAATTCAGCTGCTGCGGCGGGAACTGCGCCAACTGAAATCAAAGCCGCCGAACTCTGCGCATCACGGCGCCAAGGAGGCGAGTAGGAGGGACGCCGAAAAAGAGAGAGTCTACCTTGTCAAGCGCATACAACGGTTGCGAAAAGAGTTGGAGGAGTTGTCAGCGAAGGTCAAGCAACAAAAGGTGCACGAGGAGCTGAGGCGAAGTGAGGCCCTGTTGTCAAATGAGGATAGCCACACCGATTTACAAAATGTTGATTCAGCGCAGAAGCGTCACTCCAGTGGGGCAGATGCCCCTCCGAACGTCGAGGAAGGCGGCGACAAGGGGCGGGAATTGACATCGGGGAAAAGAACTACCTTGATGTCACAAAACTCCTGGGCACCGAGTACCAGCACATTGAGTGAGTCCAAGGGAGATTCGATCGACAAGACCATTGAGGAACTTAGGCACCGCGTGGAACAGGGGCGAGCCAGTGCTGAAACACTGACAACCGAGCGACGCAGTTCTGTATCATCGACGCACATCCCGGGCAAGCCTGCCTCAGACCACACCCTCATACATGAGGCGGGGCACTCTTTACGTGGCACACCCGTGGAGCCGGAATTCCTTCAGGGTGAGAATGATGCGGTGTTGGAGGTCAAACATGAAGCCGAATTGGACGCACCAACGTCGGAGGAGGAAATCAAGCATGAAGCTCGAAAAGAGCTTTCAACGTCAGAGAAGGAAGTCAAGCATGATGTCGAGTTGGAACCACCAACGCCAGAGAAGTCAGAAGAAAAAGAAGTACAAGATAAGAATGACAGCCACGCAGTTGCGTCGTGGTTTGATGACGATGATGCCAGGACTGGGGATACTCCAGAGAAGGAGGTTTTGAAACCCGCTGTTGCAGCCGGTCTGCACCTGGCTGAGCAGCCTGACGCCAAGGAAGGCGACGTCACGGAAAATGCCCCGGCAGAAGTACAGGACAGTACTGACAAGAATGCTGGCATGGGGGCGGAAGCCGCGGCTGAAGAAGACCGTGTAGAGACAGGGCTCGCCGAGGAGGAAGTTGCCGCTGGAAATGGGGCGGGTGCAAAGTTAGATGCTGTCGTCTCTCCTCCGGCGCCTACGGACGAACCTTCGTGGCTCGACTTTGACTAAAATCATGGAGGAAATGGAGGACAAAAGGCGCTTCAAGTGAGCCGCATGGGGGGGGGGTGCTGGTGTACGTGCCTCCCTCTTGGGGTGCGTTAATCTTTTTTACGCCCCTACTCTTCCTGGTCACCCCGGACTTCAAGCGCGCACTTTCCATAGGGAGGGAGTGACGGAGAGAAAGAGAAAAGGAAGGAGAGAGAGCTCCCACCGGCAAGATCCAGTCTCACTTGTTTTATTTAGAGGGATTTTTCTTTTTTTTTTTTTCCTCGGTGTTTTTGCTTCTCCTTCGTCGTCGTCTGCAGTCTCTTTTGGCCGGCGGTGGTGTTTTACGTGCGCTCGATTTGTTCCCCCTCCGCCGCTTTTTCCTTGGAGACAATTACTTTCCTGCGAGTGTGGCGGGGGCGCCCCACCGCCCCTCCCAACGCCACACTCGGACAGGGTGGTGGTGCCGCGTAGCAGACATGTCCCCGTCACCGTCGCATCACTTTTTCCCAGTCGTTTGTTGTATGGCGTGCGTCGCATTGGCCGCCCACTCATGTACCGTGTGTTTTTCTCTTTTTATGTACAGTGTGGACATATATATGTGCCTTTCTCGGGATAGAACTCGGCGCACGACACATTTGCCCTGAGTATGAAAGCAAACTAACAGGAATCATGACAGGAGCAAACAACGAAGGCAAGCGCAGAAAAAAAAAAAGAAGGTACCAAAGTCGGACGACGCCATTGGGGCGGTAGAGTTGCTTCTTGTCCGCCGGCGCCGGCGCCGGCTCTGGTAGTCGTCTGCGGCGTTGCCGAGGTGTGTGGTCTGTTGCCTGCCTGCTTCGTCGGTTCTCTTTGCTTTTTGTGTTGTCTCTCCACCCTGCCGGTGTCCCCTTACCCTTCCACTTCTTTCCCTTCCTTTGCTCTACCTATCCTTGGCGCCCTCCCATTCACCGCAAACATGCTCACAAACCGGTTGCAGAAGGAACTGACGAAGACGAAATTTGCTGCCTTGGTTTGTTTTTATTTTTGGGTGAGCGGGGAGGCGCAGTTGGGGGTGTATGCAAACACCCTCACTGACGCCGCGCCACGCGACGCGTCGCCTCCCCTCCTCCTTCGGTGTCGCCGGGGGGAGAAGAGCGACGGCGACGAAAGAGGAAGGAGGAGCGGAGGCCGCCGCGCCGCCACTGTCGTGCCACGCAGCGGCAGAAATTGGGGCCTCCGGTGCAAGGCCGACGCAGGCATTGCGGGCGCGAGAAGAGTTAGAGCCGGAGCTGCGGCGCCTGAGGGCGGAAAACGCCAAACTTCAGCTGGTGGAGGAGCAGTTCTGGGCGCTCCTGGCGGAGAATGAGGAGCTGCGGAAAGCCGCGGCGCACAACGGGGACCGTGGCGGGGCCCCTGACACTTCTGGGCGCCGGCTTACCGGCGCATTTCTGCAGCGGAGCAGGAATGAGGGGGACGGCGAGGGAAGCTGGCGTGTATCTTCCTGTGCTCGTGCCCTCCGCGAGTGCATGGATCTTCTTATTGCGAGGGAGCTGCAGGACGCATCGCAGACGGACTGCACAGAGGCTGTGAAGAAGCAGCTGGAGCAGGAGGACTCGGTGGCAACTTATCTACTCTGGGTGCGCGCGAGACGAAGAGAGGGCGGCCCTGAACTACAACCAAATGACATCCTCCTGCCGCATCACGGACAACCCGCGGTCATGGGCGGAGGAGGAGGAAAAGTTGCGCCTCGCAACGAGACGGCTGTCCGAGACGGAAGCTGTGTGGCTATTCCCCAGCTTCAACAGGAGTTGAACGAAACGGAGGCGGTGCTGTTGCGACGCCGTCTTGAATCTGCCGAACGTGAGTTGCAGGAGGCACGTGAGATGTTGGAGCTGGCAAACATGGGCCGCGCCGCCGCACTGAAGGATTGCGCCCGACTGAGTGGACAGGTGACTACGCTGACGGGGCACCTGCAGGAAATTCTCGAGTCTCACAAGACGTCGCATGACTTGTGCCTGGAGAACGAGGCGCTCAATGCGCTTGTAGAAAAGCAGGCGGGAAGCATCAAAGTAAGAGACCAGCTTCTCACTGAGATGCGTGTCACGTTGCAGCGTCTGCAAAACACGCGCTCCTCAGAGGAGGTTTCTCTTGCCGAGGCGAACGAGCGAGTGCGTCAGCAGCTTCTTGACCGCCGACCCGTGTCCGCCTCTGTATCGACCGGTGACTAACAGTCTCTGCGCTTCCCCCCCCCCTCCCCCTCCTTCCTGTTTTTTTATCTTCTTCTCATGCCTTGAAGAAACGTTATGCACGCGTCTTTTTTGTTACATTTATTGCACATTGTGTATTTACTGATATAACTACATTTATATGCGTATATATATATATATATATGTAGATGTGCCTGTGTGTGTTTTTTTGGTGCTGTGACACCTTAACTTCTCTTCTCTTCTCTTGCCTCTTTATTTCTTTTTTTTTCTTTTGTCAAAACCCTCCACAACTTTTTTTAAAAAATTACTATTGGAGCTTTTCCTCACTCTTCTTCTGCCTCGTTATATGCAGTGCATCTCAACTACATATAATACACCTGCACGGCGCCAGCCTTCTATATAGCATCCAGTGGCGTTGCGTTTTGTAGACGGGGCGACTCAATGCTGCGACACGTTTATCCAGAAGTTTTTCGCGGGTGCACAGCCAGCACGTCTGGTCGCATGGCGGGGAATTTCAACGGCGCGTGCCAGCGGCGGTGTGTCGCCTCGACGCCCATAGTCACACTGGTGACGGGGAAACAAGGGCGGAGCAAGAAGTTTAGCGTGGGCGAGGAGAATCTCGGGGCTGCCGCATCGGGTGCTGTTCCGATGCCTCCTGCGGTGACTGTTATTTTTCCTTCCGCATCGCCAAACTCCGACGCCGCGGCGAATGACGGGCCGCAGATGATGGAACTGGGCTTTTCGCAGTGCAAGAGCCTTTACACATGGGAGGGGTCGCGTAAGGAGCCTGGGGTGTTTATGCCTGTTTCCCACCGCGAGAAAACTCCCCTGCAGCGTCTCTGCCTCTTCGGAATGCCACGTGGATACCCGGAATCATGCGAGGTTGGCTTTCGTCGTTACTTTCTTCTTTCGCTCTGTAGTTCTTCAGTTTCCAGTTTTGCCTCCTCTATCGGCTACCAGTCTATTCTGAACGGGTTTTTTCTTGGTTCATCTCCCCAGCTGTGGATGTTGAAGGACCTGCTCCCGGCACTCGCCGCCGCGTACCTGGCAAATCGTATTGTTTCGTACGAAAACCGACCCAAGTTTTGGTTCTTCGTTAGCGTTGGAATGCACAACCTCTCCGTGATTGCCGACATGCTCATTCCCTCGCTGCTCTCGCAGCATCTCCTGTTAGGCGCCGTCATCACCTCATGCGTGCGGCAATCGGCGTCGCTCATGTTTTTGGTGTCACGCGCCGCCGCCCTGCAGCACTTCGCGGTGAGCAACAACCTTGCGGAGCTCACAAAGAAGCTAAACTCCTTTGGGATGGTGATTTACACGCTTTTTACGGCATTGGGCATCATGTATACCTCCGTTGTGACCTCGCTGGCGGCGCAGCTTGTCACTGTCGTGTTTTGCTGTGCGTTGAATCTAGTTTTATCCTACCTGTCAATGAGCAAAATGGCGTTTCGGATTTTGAATGTCACGACCCTCTCTGTGGTGCTGCGCGACTACGTGGGCAGGGAGGGCGTGCATCGGCGTCACACACCCACCCCAAACGAGGTAAGCGAGCGCATTGGGCTGCGCATGCTGGATGAGAAGGCATGCGACCCCAATGATCGCACCAGACTTTTGTACGTAAGTCCTCCCGTGAGCAAACTTCGGGTGCGGTTTGATAGGCTTGAAGAGGATGTCCTGTATGCTTGCTCATCGGAGATGTTTTTGTTGGCCCTGTGGGAACCGGTGGCCCCGTTGTCGTTGAAAGAGTGCTGGCTGCGCTGGGAGCTTCCAAGGGCGTGTAGCTTGTTTCGTTCAAAGTCGTCGTCAGTCACCGAAGGGAAAGGCATGCTCGTTCACAACGGCACCTCTCCGCGACTTGTGCTGTTGATCCACCAGGAGTGCGATCAGTTGCATCTAATGACGGCCTACCTTTTGGCCTACACCGCACTGTTGTACCACGCCGAAACGGCGGGGGAATTAACGCGCTTTCTCCGCTCATGCAACGAGGAACAGTCGGTGTGGTTGCGGCACGGCGCCGAGTTGCATGAGGCGCTTCGGCGTGCGGGCTGGGACGTGGAACAGCTCGCCTTGGACCCCCCGGACTTTCGCCTGTCGAATCTGCGCTTTGCCACGCGCACGGTGCAGCAGCCCCCCTACTGCGCAGGGCGGGAGCGGGATGGCAGCCACGCAAGGCGTCGACAGACCAAAGAGTGATACGTTGCCGCCGCCGCAGATGTGCAACGCACACAAAACACGGCAATGCCAAGCACCGACGCGCAGTGAAGGAACGCGGAGAGAAGCACATGCTTCTGCACGAGCGCCTCACCTTCTTGGCAGTATTATTGCTGAAAGGGCGAGAGAGACGGATACGCAGAAGAAGTTAAAATGCGCCGAAGACGAAGAAAGGAGCGGAAGCCTGCGACAAACTGAGGGTCACATATTTGTCCAAAGCCTCAACCCCTTCCTCTGTTCGTTTGTTCCTTGCCGTTGTTGGCGTTGCTGCTGTTTTTTTTTGTCCGCCTGTTGCCTGTCTGCCGTGTTGCAGTCGTTTTGGCTCTGTGGAAGTATCCCTGGAGGAAACGTTCTTCTTCACCACAAGTGTAGCTGCTGGAGCCCCAGTGATGCTTTGGCTGGGGCACCAACGACGCATGCGCACAACTCCTTTTTCCTTCCAGCGGAACCTCAAAATGAAGGAGCTGCTGCTGCTGGGCGGAAGGATGCGGGGTGGGTGGGTGAAAAAATGTCCATGCGGCGCTAATGCCAAGGCATGCACCGCTTCTTTTGTTTCCGATGCGTGTGCTTTTTTATGCTTGGTTGCGCTGCTGCTTTTGTGCGCCGTTGCCCTGCAACTCTCATCTTCTCGCAATTGGTTCCGCCCGTTTTTCCTCTCGAAGCATGAGTGTGGGTGCTTGTGTATTTTTTTATCTGCTCTCTCTGTTGCGTGGGTCTCCGCCGCCGATTCCTTGTCCTACGGGGCCCCCCTCTGCGTGTGTGGGCCATCGCGGCCCCCCGCCTCGCTCAAGTGTCGCATCTGTTTCACATTAATTTACGCACCTCCCCCGAGGCGTCTGGGGCGGTGCGGAGGAATACATACATTTTTTTATATTCGTCTGCATCTGCACATCATCCTCTCCCCACTCCCGTCCCCCTCCTGCTTTCCTGTGCTCTTGCTGACTCGCCCGGCCTCTGTGTCGCAACTGTTCGTGGGTTGCTTTCTCTCACTGCAGCCCTCGCGGGGGATGAAACTGCGGTGGCGCGCCGCTGCCGCCGTGTGCGGTGCGACCCGAACCGCCCATCACTGCTCCTTCCCTCCACTCTTTGCCTCGTACCGCTGAAACGTGGGAGAAACGTGAGGGAGCGCACACTGCCCCAACTACAGCGTAGGGAGTAGCGACGGCGCAGATACGTAAGCAATCGAAGAACAACAACAAAAAAAACACCCTAAACCACACACGCAAGTGACACAATACAAGCAAAAAAAAAAGAATAAGAAGAAAAAAAAGAGGCAGACAAGACTGGAGCTTGAAAAGTATTTGCCGGCTTTTGTTCGTTTCGTTCTGTGCCTCATTCATCCCCTGTAAGTTTTCCCTTGCTTTCTTGGGGGGTGCTCCAATGGCTTTGGTGTCGCGGTCCTTCGCCGAGTATTATGCCGCGTTGGTCGCGCGTGAGCCTTTGCCGGATGAGCTGCTAAAGCGCGTATGCCGAGAGGAAACAGGCAGGCGGAAGCTCATCGAGGCGGAAGTTGATGCAGCCGTCAATGATCTTCTTCATGTGATGGGCGTCATGATTGGCGAGCGGAAGAAAAAGGCGGCCGACACTAGGCGGCATATTTCGTACGACAAACATACGCTCGCGGTGATGGAGCAAGAAACAGCAGTGTGGTTGCCGCCGGTTCCACCGCGTGGCATCGTGCCACCGAAGAGGCGTTTCTTCCCTGGGTTCCCAAAGACAAAGTATAACCAGCTTCTGGCGGAGGAGCAAGAGCTGCGTCATTGGCTGACTTCGCTGGAGTTGCGCCAGCGCGCTCCCATCGAGAAGATGTGCTCCGATTCATGGTTTCTTTTGCTTTGCTTGGGTCAGTGCAGTGAACGAGAGGCTGTCGGTCGTGCGCGTCTGGAGCGTGAGGAGGAGGAGGACCGTCTCTGCATTCGTCGTGACGTCTTCCGTTTGGCTCCACCGGACTACTTTCGCCGTCTCTGGATGGAGCGGTACGGAGTGGAATCCGAGCCCAAGGAGAAGACATTCGCTGAGCTGTGGGAGGAATCTCGTAAGGAGATTGAGCAAGAGGAACACGAGGATTGGCGCTGCATGCTGCGGTGGCTTTTTGACATGTACGGAGTTAGTCTGTTTTCAGTTAGCCGCAAAGAGGTCTCCGAGCGTTACGAAATTGAAGAAAAGGAAACCGAAGAACTCTGGACATCAATGGTGAAGTTGTCGCGCAACACATTTGGGCCATATTTAAAGTATACTGCCCTTGTGGCCTGGCACTCAACGGGTCATCCTCCGCTGCTGCGCGAACTTACTACGTTGGCTGCAGGACACGCTGGCCAAGAGGAAGCTGAAAGGAAGGCAAGGGAAGAGGAGGAAAAAAGAATGCTTACTATTCACGGTTCATCGGAGGCGTCCTCATACGAAGAACAGGAGGGCGCTCGTGGCGACGAAAAAGATGATGCTTGGCAAGAGCTTGGAGAAGAACCGCAGGATGCACACGGGACGGAGGATGGAGCTCCACCGCAGACCCATTCGGGCATTCATGCCTCATCGAAGGTGTCTTCGCATCCCGAAGGCGAACAGGCCGCCGAGCACGAAGATGAGGCGCATTCGGGCATTCATGCCTCATCGAAGGTGTCTTCGCATCCCGAAGGCGAACAGGCCGCCGAGCACGAACTGGAGGCGGTGGCTGCACCAGAGGGACACCAAGAGGAGGCAAAGGAGCATGCGTCTGCCCATGCAGCAGTGGAGGGCGGGGAGTACCCGGTGGAGGCCGAGGCGCCCGCCGCTGTCGCCGCCGAGCACGAAGCGGAGGCGC